TGATATAAGTTTACCGACGTTTCAGAGGTGCTTCCTGCCTCCATCATCGGGACGATCGCCATAATTATACAGAGGGAGGTAGCAGATATCTCTGAAACGTCTATAAGACTACTCGGCGCAGCATCCCAGAAGACATTCTTCATATTCGCCGCCGTGAGAACATCAAATCATTTTCGTTCACATCTTATACGAGATGTAAAGAATGTAATTAAAAAGTTTCATAAGAAAGGATGGGGAATACTTTGTACAGTAAGTTATGCTTCTGCTAACTCATATCTACACTGTCCTGTGACCGTGATTCAACAGATATCGAAATTATACCTGAGCGATAATTACACATGATTCCAATCAGGCGGACTCAAAATTTGTTGTATGTCTGTCTACCTGATAAAATGAGTACATGTAATCTAGACTGCATAAATCGATTTAAAACCGGCGTTGTTTGACCTTATTATTTTATATATCACTCACAGTGAAACGTCTTTTTGCAAATTTTCCACATTTTAAAATAATTTTTAAAAGGCTATTTTTAAAACTTGAACCCAAAATGCTCATGAAAATACATAATGTAAAGAAAAAATCTTAGCACTGAAGGACAAAATTTAAATTGGAAAACAATTCATCATATTTATCTCATATATTTAACAGACGTTTCGATGAGCTTTTGTTCAGTTCATAATCGTATGCACAGATAATGTAGTTTCGCCTAGAAAAGCAACTTCTTCTGCTCTGCTCTCTTGCGTGCCGCCTAAACAAACGTTTGCAGGCGTTAAGTTTGGAATGTCACGAACGTTGATAATGCTCAATTCCAGTCAGACAATGGCCCTAATTTTCAGTAAAGTATTTTACTGACATGCCCAGCCGTCAATACAACAATTCCGACATTTTTAAAAGCTACAACTATGACGACATGATTATAAGAACAGAGAATTATAACATGTGCTGTTTCATCTGTTCTGCTTGTCTGTATCTTAACTTAACATCGGTTTCTCATGTGCACAGTTCTTGTGGTATAGAATAGAATTATGAATGAAAATATGAACTGAAACAATCAGGAAGGAAGTGGTCATGGCCTATTTTAAGGTACTGTACCACCATTTGCCTGCAAGGAGTAAAGAAGTTCATGAAAACACACACGCACACGTCTTTATCTTGAAATACACAAAGCAAAACAACTTCCTAAGTAAAATGCTGAAACAATTCTTAATCGGAAGAAAAAAACATGTTTGAAAAATATGTGTGGGACTACTTTTGTAAAAAAAAAAATATCGACACTAAATACTGTAACGAAGGCCATTAACATTTGTGTGATACATAAATTTTTCTATTCGCTAAATATTGGCACGGCTTGAAGCGTAACATAACGCATCTTTCACACATTCAATAATAACTCAATTAGTTTATTAACTTGGTAATTGAGAACATCAAAAACCTAATTAATATTAATAATAATAATAATAATAATAACAACCTTGACAGCTTTGATCATCCAGAATACCAACTTAATCATTCGCCATTTCTTCCTTCACAATGTGAAAACCTTTAATAAAATTATGTCCTTTTTTTAAATAGTCCTTTTATAAATTGTTTTCATGTTCTCTTTCATAAGCACCAAGAAAAATCAAACGACCATCCAACCACGTACAACAAAAACGGAAGGAAATTTTGACATTAAAATATTGCTTCTCTCCCCTAATGGTGTGGTAAAGCAATGTAAAACACAAAAAATATATTTTACTGTCGTAAACTCAGACGGCAACCCTAGTGTTCGCATTCTTTAAACGTGATTGCGATAAGAAGGTACACAAACAGTAATGGCGCTCTCAGAGGATGGCTACCCGTGTCCAACCCAAGTGTTTCTGAGAATATAAATCACCCATCAGATAACAAGTTTACACTCATTTAAGTCCGACCTGTAGAGTTCAAAAGTACCTTCGTTACCAGCATAATTTTTATTAATATATATAAAGCGAAGAAGAATTTAAGGAAATTGCATACGGAGGAATTTCGTGAGTTTTACAGGACAATTAGTACCGTTAAGACAAGGAAATTATGGACGCCACGTAGCTCTAGCGGACATAACAAATGCATACAATACTTTATGAGTAAAACCTTTGAGGAACTGGCCACATGTTATTGACAGTGGAACCACGGTTCCGGAGAATCTGACGTAAATACGTCTATACGGAAAGGAAGTTTATATATTAGCTTTAATTACAACAATATTAACAACAATGCCGAGTAAACAGATGACGTTTCCTAGGTAACATAACAATGCACGCAAGCTGACCATTGTTGTCGATCCATATTAACACATTGTTGATGTGGATCTTACACGTTTTCCTCTCACTTGTTTGCCGAATGACCCTTCCGTATAGACGTATTTACGTCAAAATAATGATATAAATAATCTCTTGACAATGTGATCTGGCAGTTGTTTATTACAGGTAACAAATACTTATCGCAGTCTGGTGATGTCATCAGAGCTGCTAATATTTAAACAATGTAAATGTAATAGTGGAATAATATAAAAGTTTATCTCAATCTCAGTTACGCAAACGCCTTGAAAATTAAGTTTTACGGGGCCTGATATGAAAGCTACAGTTCTTTCCCCAAATATGTTTCCCTCGCTTGCTTTTTAAGGTTTATATTATGTGCACCAATTTGCAAAAGGCAGACGACTAGGGAAGACGTTAAATTATTACTCTGCTGGGAAAAAAGAGAACTAAAAATAAAATACTACGCCATATTTCTGTCTTTCTTTTTAAAGAGTCCCTGAGGTGTAATTTCTCGTGAAGACTTCTCAAGACGACAATTCATCACAATAATGGGATTTTATCCGATTGTTATAAAAAATTTACAGACGCGCCTTCCAATTTTTTTAAACGAGAGACCAACACTAAAATATATCGTAATAACAGCAAACTAAAGGCCAGGTAGCGGCGAATTTAAAACAGGGACCATAAAAACAAAAGTATCTCATTTTAGAATTAAAATATTCTGTTTAGTTCCACTATTTCAACTTTGGAGGTTATGTAGCACAGAAATGGAATTACAGTGATTATGAACGGTACATTAAAAATGATGTATGGGTGTGAAACTGCCTCTCTCACATTCAGGAAAGTACACAGATTGATCTGAATGAGAACAAAACACAGAGAAAGTAATTCAAATCCAAAAACAGTAAAAGGGCACTTGAGACATATACGTAGATTCTAGGATATTATTAAAACAGATCACAAGGAACTGGGGTATCAGAGAGTGGCCTAAAATGTAGGTTATAAGAATATCGCATGATGATAAGCATTTTGGAAAAGATTCACAAGAATGGATCTTATTCTACACACGAGAAACTTCGCCTGCCACATGGATAATCCACTGTTGGTCACTTAAGTGTCTGAGCACCTGGTACATGATAAATATTCAATAAAACAAACTGGACACTCAGCAGAAAACATGGACAAACACCAAAGCACATTCGAGTGAAGGTTTCGTTATATAAGAATCTGGTATACGAAACTAAAACTCCTCCTTCGTATCCGAGAAGTCTCGTATTCAATTCTCGTTCTGTGGGGTCATTAACCCGGCTAAGCTCTTAGTACTTTTCATCAGAATCATTAGGGGAATTTTTGGATTGAACTGTCAATATCTTGTCTTTCCAAATATTTCCAAATTCCTCATTCATTGATATCCTATCACTGTACACATATAAACAGTGGCTTAAAACTTGTATTACACCAATCGATCAATCAATTACATATGAATGGAAAGTTTTCTGCATTGTGAAGTGGGAGAGCTTAGCCTATATTTAATAAATAACAATAAATATTAATTAATTTCATCAGATAACTTCTAGCTTAGAA